TAACTTCATTTCTGGACATTTATGGTTTGATTTCTTTGTATGTATGGATCACTTGGGTTGTTACCGACATCTGGTGGAAATTTCATGTCATTATCACCTCTAGTAATATATTTACTGAGAAAAATGTTGACGTGTTCAATACTTATTTTCCCTGCTGTATATTTTCGTCTTAGTTTTCTTCAAGTATCTTTTTTGTTTTTCAGATGAAAACAAGACGAGAACTACAATAAAACTAAAGCACAAAGTAAAAACTGAAGAATTTATGATTTCTTAATGCTCATAAATTGTGCAATATGACAAAAAAACTGTTAACAAAATTAAAATGCCTATTGTTTTATTTTATACTCTTATTTCAAGGTGTCCCAGATACACTGCTTACAGTCATCATATTTTTTTTTATCAATTTAAACGTCAGTCTGGTTGTGCTGCAGGTTTCTGCTCTTGTCAGCTGTCACTGATTTTCTGCTCAGGTTAGATTGCAATGAAGGAAGAATCAACTCAATCTGCTTTTTTAGACAGAAAACATTTATTTATCCACACTTCATAATGCATAATGCACTATGACTTAGTATTTTAACTAAATAAGAAACTGACACTTTGATTTGATTTTGTTTTTTTTTTAGAGCCAAGATAACTTTTGCAGTGAATTGGCACTAATATATACTGTATTTGCGAGTTAATATTGTCTTAATGGACAGTAATTAAAAAAAATGAGCTTGTAAAACTTCCATGCTAAATGCGACCTGGTTGAAAATTTGGGTGTACCTAATGTTTGTGCTGGTGCATCCAAAAAAATAGTTAGGCACACTGGTACAACCAGTGCAAAAAGTTAGTCTACAGCCCTAAATTATCTGTTATAATTTAATTTTAGTCTAGTTTTAGCTGACTAAATACCATTATATTTTAGTCAACTAAATTTACAGTAAATTTAGTCGACTAAAATATAAGGTGTAGTTTAGTTGAGTTAAATTTAGTTTATTCAGAGACTAAGACTGATTTTGTAACCACAAGAGTTACTTTTTCTGAGCTAAATACAAGATGACAAGCAGTATTTTACTGTATCAGCAGGTACTACAACATGCTTTATACTGTATATGTGTATGTGTATATATTAGGACTGGGTGATGGCAAAATGATCACGATTAATTTTTTCATACCGTCCGATCTCGACTAATATCACAATCTTTTATTAACCTAAAAAGTGACTGAAAATAATTTAATAAATAGCTACTGAAATAAAAAAATAGCTGTTATTTCACATTCACTAATTAACGATTAATCGACGACTAATCGATTATTAAAATAATCGATGACTAATTTAATAATCGATTAATCGTTTTCTTTTTTTTTCTTTTTTTGTTCTTTACTTTGTTTTTCTCTCCAAACTGCTTTGACACCTTCCACTGCCACGTCTGCCTTTCCGTCCTTGACAC